ACTTGTTGTTGTCACGGCTACAATTGGTTTGTACACCCCATCTGCTGTATCAGCAAAGTCACGACTGATTTGGTCACTCAGGAGCCCAGTTAGCTTTGCTCACTCTGCTTCTCCGTTGATTCCAGCCATCATTACAAATGGTATCTTTACGCAGTGGAGTTAACCCGGATAGTGCTTTCCCATGGGTGCCTTTATTATCTATTCATCATGTTGTCCCAGTTTATCTCAAGATGAATCTGGCTGCTTCACTACACATCTAACTACAGATGCCTGGCATGTGGCCTGAGGTGGGAGATTAGAAGATTACAAGATACACACTAGAGGTGTTTCACTTAGAGTTGATAAGGAAGTGAAAAATATTCTAAAAAAGACGCAGAGCGTTGGTGAATTTGTGTTTTAACGCCAGTATTTTTTCAGTGTGCTTGAATATGATAACAACACTTTTATTTCCATGCTGACATTTTGCACAACAAGCCAGGGGCAACTTCAGCGTGTCCAATCTGGTAAATAAATGAACATTTGTAACATTTAAATGAAATGTTCTTGGCCTCGCACACAGCCTCCGAGCAGACTTGTTGGACACTCCCTCAAATTTCCTCCCCACTAATTTGCATTGCTTAGTAGATCCTTTGTGTCACCTGGAGGTTCAGGCAGAGCGGTGTTGCAGCCAATTTCCAGATGGCAATTCAAATGTGTGACATATCCTCAATTTTTTAGAAAAATACACAGCCACATCCACAGACTCCATTAGCTGAGGGAGGAAAACATGCACGTGCACAAATGGAAAAGTGGTGGAAAGTGTCCAGTGGTGTGAATATTCACATCTGCACCTGCTGAATAATAGACGATTATCAGCTCAGGTGGCACACCGTGCAGCCCTGCTCGGGTTCTTTCTCCCATTTCGTGGTGCTAATTTTGACCGTAATAGTCAAAGGGCTTGCGAAATGCATATTTCTTGTCTCTCAGATCTGATCTTGTCTTGTATTCTGTCTTAAGAGCGAGCATATACTTCAGGAGGAGTGCTAGCTTCGAGGTGTAATGTGTCTGCAATATGGGCTCTAAAGAGCCTCGGGTCTTGGTGTGTTCTTACATTTTCACAGGGGAGAAACACCTACAGCAGGTTCTGTGGCAGTGAAACCATATATCATCTGTCATCGCCAGAAGCATCCACAATAATGAACAAGTAATAATAGTATATATCTTGAACTAGAGTCTCTAAAGGTAGCTCATCCAGAGTCATTATTGTGCCACATAACCAGATGAGCTTTCTCAAATGAGATCATTTTTGTCGCCTTGAGGACTGGAGGGTGTAACTGTTCGCTGAGTGAATAACTCATCCTCATTTGGCGCTAATGGGACTCCGTATTGAGGTGTTGTGTGAATGCAGGAGGAATGGTAAATCCCATTTTCTTGTAATCTAAATCTCAAGCTGTTTCCACACATCTGTTCCTCTGGTGTAGAAAGGACAATTCATTTCGAAGAAAACATGCACGGGATGGAGAAAAGGAACATCTAATGAAGATTCATGCCACACATGATTATGACAGAGTGTTAGGCTACAGTGTGTTAGAGAGAGGTATGTCACGATGACATCTCTGTCACAGACACAACCATTATTCCCTCTGTCCATCCATCCATCAACCTACCTATCTCGCTTCTGTCCCATCTCCTTCCTCCATCTGTCCATCCGTGTTGGCTTTATTCAGGTATTGCGATGACACAGTTAACCCATAATGAGGGATATGCATA